ATGCTTTAAGGAGGTTCTATTTTCGTATATTTTAAAGTTTTGTTTCAAGATTTAGAACTCCTTTTAGAATTTCTTGTAGTGCTGGCTTAGTAGTGACAAATTATCTCAGCATTTATTTGTCTGAAAAAGACTTTCTCTCTTTTTCATATATGAAGTTTAATTTTGCTGGATACAGAATTATTGGCTGACAATTATTTTGTTTGAGGAGGCTAAAGATAAGACCTCAGTCGCTTCTGACTTGTAGAGTTTTTGCTGAGAAATTTGCTGTTAATCCACTATGTTTTCCTTTATTTTCATTTTATTTTACTTATTTATTTATTTGAGAAGGAGTTTTGCTCTTGTTGCCCAGGCTGGAGTGCAATGGCACAATCTTAGCTCACTGCAATCTTTGCCTCCCAGGTTCAAGCAATTCTTCTGCCTCAGCCCCCTGAGCAGCTGGAATTACAGGCATGTGCCACCATGCCTAGCTAGTTTTATATTTTTAGAAGAGACGGGTTTTCCATATTGGTCAGGCTGGTCTTGAACTCCTGACCTCAGCTCATCTGCCCACCTCAGCCTCCCAAAGCCCTGGGATTGCAGGCATCAGCCACTGCTCCTGGCCATGTTTTCCTTTATTGGATGTCTGAGGCTTTTGCTTCACAACTCTCAAAATTCTTTCTTTGTTTTGGCTTCAGATAACCTGATGACTATGTGCCTAGGTGATGATATTTTTGCAATGAATTTCCCAGGTGTTCTTTGAGCTTCTTCTATTTGGATGTTTAAATCTCTAGCAAGACAAGGGAAGTTTTCCTTGATTACTCCCTCAAATAAGTTTTCCAAGCTTTTAGATTTCTCTTCTTCCTCAGGAATACCAACGATTCTTAGGTTTGGTCATTTAACATAATCCCCAATTTCTTGGAGGCTTTGCTCATTTTGTAGAATTCCTTTTACTTTGTCTTTTTCTGATTGGGTTAATTCAAAAGCCTTGTCAAGCTCTGAGAGTTTTTCTTCTACTTGTTCTAGTCTATTTTTGACACCTATGCAAGCATTTTGTATTTCTCTAAGTGTGTCTCTCATTTCCAGAAGTTGCGATTGTTTTTTCTTTTTTCTTTCTTTTCTTTCTTTTTTTTTTTTAAAAATGGAGTTTCACTCTTGTTGCCCAGGCTGGAATGCAATGGCACTATCTTGGCTCACTGCAACCTCTGCCTCATGGGTTCAAGCGATTCTCCTGCATCAGCCTCCTGAGAAGCTGGGATTACAGGCATGCACCACCACGCCTGGCTAACTTTTGTATTTTTAGCAGAGACGGTGTTTCTCCATTTTGGTCAGGCTGGTCTCAAACTCCCAGCCTCAGGTGATCTGCTGCCTTGGCCTCCCAAACTGCTGGGATTAGAGGTGTAAGCCACTGCACCTGGCCGATTGTTTTTCTTTATTATATCTACATCTCTGGAGAATTTTTCATCCATGTCCTGTATTGTTTTTAATTTTTTTTGATATAGGGTCTCTCTTGTCACTCAGGCTAGTGTGCAATTGCATGATTTTGGCTTACTGCAACATCTACCTCCTAAGTTCAAGCGATCCTTCCATCTTAGCATCCCAAGTAGCTGGGACTACAGGCATGCACCACCAAGCCAGGATAATTTTTTTTTTTTTAAGTAGAGACAGGATTTTTTTTTTTTTTTTTGAGATAGAGTTTCACTCTTGTTACCCAGGCTGGAGTGCAATGGCACCATCCCAGCTTACCACAACCTCTGCCTCCTAGGTTCAATAAGTTTTCCTGCCTCAGCCTCCCGAGTAGCTGGGACAACAGGCTCGCGCCACCACGCTCGGCTAAGTTTTTGTATGTTTAGTAGAGATGGGGTTTCACCATGTTGACCAGGATGGTCTCGATCTCTTGACCTCGTTCGTGATCCACTCGCCTCGGCCTCCCAAAGTGCTGGGATTATAGGCGTGAGCCACCGAGCCCGGCTGAGACAGGTTTTTCCCATATTGGCCAGGTTGAACTCCTGGCCTCAAGTGACCTACTTTGGCCTCCCAAGTGCTGGGATTACAGGTGTGAGCCACTGCACCTGGCCATTTTTACATTTCTTTAAGTTGTTTTTCACCTTTCTCTAGTGTCTCCTTGAGTAGCTTAATAATCAACCTTCTGAATTCTTTTTGTGGCAATTCAGAGATTTCTTCTGGGTTTGGATGCATTGCTAAGAAGCTAGTGTGGTCTTCTGTGGGTGTTATGGAACCTTGTTTTGTCGTATTTCCAGAATTACTTTTCTGATTTCTTCTCATTGGGTAGACTATTTCAGTGGAAAAATCTGGAACTCAAGGACTGCTGTTCAGATTCTTCTGTCCCACATGGTGATCCCTTGATGTGATGCATTCCCCCTTTCCTTAGGGATGGGGGCTTTCGGAGAGCTGGACTGCGGTGATTATTGCTCTTCTGGATCTAGGCATCCATCGGGCTTCCAAGCTCCAGGATCGTGCTGGGGAGTGTCTGCAAAGAGTCCCGTGATGCAATCCATCTTTGGGTCTCCCAGCTATGGATACCAGCACCTCCTTTGGGGGAGGTGGCAGGGGAGTGGCATAGACTCTATGAGAAGACTTAGTTGTAGATGTTTAGTGTGCTGGCTTTCTCAAATGCTGGTTATGATAGCAATGATGTTGCCACATGGACAGGACCTCTGTTTAGCAAGGATGTTGCAGATAGTGAAATTAGCTGTTTTTTCCTTCTTTGTCATGAGTTGCTGTAATATCCTGAGTTGGCTGGCCTCAAGCTAGGAGGTGGTACTTTCAGGAGAGCACCAGCTGTGACATTATAAGGAGGATATAAGCTTGCCCTTGGTTGGTCAGGGTAAGTGTTCAGGTTTCTCAGGTGATGAGTAGGGCCATAAAGCTCCCAAGAATTTGTCTTTTGTGATTGGCCACCAGGGTGGGTAGGGAAATACCATCAGGTTGCAGCAGAATTAGGCAGGTCTAAGCTCAGACTCTTTTGCCACAGCCACTGTAGGGGATGGGAGCTGATCCTCAGGCAAATAGGGTTATATTCTGGTATGGCTTATGGCTGCCTCTGTCACCAGGGAAGTGGGGGAAAGTCAGCAGCCACAGGGCTCACCCAGTTCCCACACAGTTGGCTAGGCCGTTTTCACTCCCACTGGGCCCTGCTAACAGCACACTTTATCTCCAGGCAGCTGGTGGGCAGGACTCAGACCTAGCCCTAGGATATAAGCTTCCCCACTGAAATAGCAAGCAGCACTTTCAAACCTCACCCCTCCCTGTCTGCCACACTGTCAGCGCAGCTTCTATGCTCCTTTCTGCAGTTCACTTTCACCCCCCCCCGATTGCTGCTTGACAGAGTTTGCACCCAGCCAAAATTATTACAAAGTTCATTTGGAAGCTTATTTCGCCCTGTGACCCTGCCCAAATTCTGCCAACTGTCTTCCTCAGGGCCTCTGTGAGATACAGTCAGGGATGGCTTCCCTGGCCTAAGCTGGAGAATGGAAATGCCTACAAGGGTCTTCCTGCTATGGCTTCTTCTTTTCTATTTTGCACTAAAACCATTTCAGCTCTAGGCAAGGTTAAATCCTTCTTCCATAATCTGGGTTTTCAGGTTCCCCAGTGGACATGTGTGTTCAGAGGCATGTTTCCCCCTTCTCACGCTTTGGGAACTCATAGTTCTTCACTCATCTTATGGAATTTGCAGTGGTGTGCTGTGAGGCTGAGGTGGGATGATTGCTTGAGCCCAGGAGTTTGGGACCAGCCTGGGCAACATGGCAAGACCCAGTCTCAGTCTGTACAAAAGGTTAAAAAAGGGCATGGTGGCATATTTCTGTAATCCTAGCCATCAGGAGGCTGAGGCAGGAGCATCACTCGAGCCCAGGGGTTTGAAGCTGCAGTGAGCTATTGTTGTGTCAGTGTATTCCAGCTTGGGTGACAGAGCAAGACCCTGCTTTTAAATAGACTACTTTTTAAAGCAGTTTTAGTTTCGTGTAGGTTTTATTTTTTTGTTGTTGTTTTTGAGATGGAGTCTCACTCTGTCACCAGGCTAGAGTACAGTGATGTGACCCTTGCTCACTGCAACCTCTGCCTCCCAGGATCAAGTGATTCTCCTGTCTCAACCTCCCGATTAGCTGGGACTACAGGCACACGACATTACACTCAGCTAATTTTTGTAGTATTAGTAGAGATGGAGTTTCACCATGTTGACCAGGATTATGTCAATCCCTTGACCTTGTGATCTGCCTGCCTTGGCCTCCCAAAGTGCTGGGATTGCAAGCATGAGCCACAATGCTCAGCTCCCATAGATTTTTACATATGATGTGAGGTAAGAGGTCTAACTTCATTTTTTGCATGTAGCTTTCCAGTTGCCCTAGAACCATTTGTTGAAAGGATGTTTGCTTCTCATTGAATCGGCACCCTGGTTGAAAAATCAATTCAACACAGATGTATGAGTGTATTCATAAAATCTTAATTTGATTACATTGGTTAATATGTCTATATGTAGGCAATACCATACCGTTTTGATGGTTTGGTTTTGTTTTGTTTTGTGAGACACAGTCTCACTCTGTCGCCCAGGCTGGGGTGCAGTGGCATGATCTCAGCTCACTGCAACCTCCACCTCCTGGGTTCAAGCAATTTTCCTCAGCCTCCCAAATAGCTGGGATTACAGGCATATGCCACCATGCCTGGCTAATTTTTGTATTTTTTTAAGTTGAGACAGGATTTCACCATGTTGGCCAGGCTGGTCTCTAACACCTGACCTCTGGTGATCCACCCACCTTGGCCTCCCAAAGTGCTGGGATTACAGGCATGAGCCACAGCACCCAGCCCTTTTTTTTTTTTGAGATGGAGTTTCACTCTTGTCACCCAGGCTAGCATTCTAAAAGAACTCTTTTAGGAATACTAAACTAAATTTGTGGATGAAGTGCTTTTTTGGTTTGTTTTTGTTTTTTGACACAGTTTCATTTTATTACCTCCACATTTTGAAGCAGTTCATGACCAGCATAGTGCTTTGGGGGAATTTTTTTTCCCAGTAAATGAAAGCATTTCTTTAAGAAAAAGGCATATATTCCCTGAATAGGTAAGAAAAGCTCCCCATCTGTCCCCTCCCGTTTTGAGGGAGCAGCCCCTGTGGGAACTCATACTAGTACCCCTGAAACATTCAGCAAAGCAACCAGTAGCCTCCCTGACCCCTCGCCCGGCTTCCCCGGCAGCTAGGATGAAGACATTCCGCACAGGTCATTCGATCTTGAGGTCCTTCAAGGCTGACTCCAAGCTCTTCACATCCCAGATACTCATGCCACCGTCCATGCCGGTGGTGCAGAACTGTGAGCACTTGGTCTTGCCCCCGCTGAGCACCGAGATCTGGCTGACGCTATTCTTGTGCAGCGAGTCCAGGCCCGAGCCCGCGGCCATGCCGCCCTCGGAGTTCGCCTTCTTGTCAAGGTTCTGGAAGCGCTCGCGAGCCGTCAAGCCATGCTGCGAGCTCTGCTTGGGCACTTCCAGCCGCCCGCCGAAGCTCAGCGTCCCCACAGCGGCGTTGTAGGTGAACAGCACCGGGAAGCAGTCGTGGCCCGCTGCCACCAGGCTGTTGTCTGTGATGAAGGTCAGCGCCAGCAGCAGCAGTGTTTCAGAGGCCAGGGTCGCGACGGCCATCTTCCTCTCGGCGTCAGCCAGGCGCACCCAGGCCACGCGGCTCCCGCTGGCTGAGAAGCAGATGCCATGTACCCAGCCGCGGCTACTGCTGGACTCAAACATCAGCTCCCCAAAGGGCATCTTAGAGCCCCATGGGGTGGGTGCCGGCCGCTCCTCCACCTCCTTGATGTAGGCTGAAAAGATCCGGCACTTGAAGTCGCAGGAGCCGGCAGCCAGCAGCACATTGTTGGGGTGCCAGGCCAGGCTGAGGACGGTGGAGCGGATGGGCTTCTCGGTGTGCTTGCAAACCCACCAGTCATTCTCCTGCTGGAAATAACAGATGGAGATGACACGGGAGCCGCTGCCCACAGCGAACTTGTTCTCATTGCGGGCCCGGTTGATCCGCAGGATGATCAGTGTGGGCTTCCATGTGCAGCCCTTCAGTGTCCACACGTAGGCCTTGCGGTCTGTGCCACTGGTCACAATTCGGTTACTCTCAGGAGCCCAGTCGATGCTCGTCACCTGCCCATTGTACTCCTTGAGCTTGTGCACCTTGGACCATTTGGCACCACTCTTCTCGTAGATGTGCACCTCATGGTTGTTGGGGCAAATGGCAATCTGGGTACAGTCCTTGTTCCAGTTGTGGCAGCTGATGGGCTCCACCAGGAAGCTGTGGTAGGCCGTGGTGGCTTGGCACCCCCTGCGTCCCGGCCGTGGACTCTGGGCAGTCGACGCCAATTTTTCTTTTTTTTTTTTTAAGACGGAGTCTTTCTCTGTCTCCCAGGTTGGAGCAGAGTGGCATGATCTTGCTCACTGCAACCTCCACCTCCTGGGTTCAAGCGATTCTCCTGCCTCAGCCTCCCGAATAGCTGGGACTACAGGCACACACCACCACACCCAGCTAATTTTTTGTATTTTTAGTAGAGACAGGGTTTCACCATGTTGCCCAGGCTGGTTTCGAACCCCTGAGCTTAGGCAATCCACCCACCTTGGCCTCCCAAAGTGCTCAGATAACAGGCATGAGCCACCGCACCTGGCCATTTTGTTTTGTTTGTTTGTTTTTGAGAAAAAGTCTCGCTCTGTCGCCTGGACTGGGATGCAGTGGCACAATCTTAGCTCACTACAAGCTCTGCCTTCCATTTCAAGTGATTCTCCTGCCTCAGCCTTCCAAGTAGCTGGGATTACAGGCATGCATCATCACACCTGGCTAATCTTTGTATTTTTAATAGAGACAGGGTTTCATCATTTGGCCAGGCTGGTCTGGAATTCCTGATCTTAGGTGATCCACCCACCCTGTCCTCCCAAAGTGATGGGATTACAGGCATGAAACACTACTCTTGGCCAGGCTGAGATTTTGATAGTGATTACATTGAATCTATAGATCGGTATTGCCATCTTAACAGTATTAATTCTTCTGGCCCATGAACACATGATGTCTTTTCATTTATTTAGGTCTCCTTTAATTTCTTTCAACAATGTTCAGTGTACAAGTCTTGTGCTTCTTTTGTTAAATCTATTCTTAAGTGTTTTATTCTTTTTGATGTTATTGTAAGTAGAATTTTCTTTTCTTTTTTTGAGACGGTTTTATGCTCTTGTTGCCCAGACTGGAGTGCAATGGCATGATCTTGGCTCACTGCAACCTCCGCCTCCTGGGTTGAAGCGATTTTCCTGCCTCAGTAGCTGGGATTACAGGCACATGCCACCACATCTGGCTGATTTTGTATTTTTTGGTAGAGATGGGGTTTCTCCATGTTGGTCAGGCTGGTCGCGAATTCCTGATCTCAGGTGATCTGCATGCGTTGGCCTCCCAAAGTGCTGGAATTACAGGTGTGAGCCACCATGCCTGGCCTTTTATTTGTTTGTTTGTTTGTTTGTTTGTTTGTTTGTTTGAGTGGAGTCTGGCTCTGATGCCCAGGCTAAAGTATGGGATGTAATTTCAGCTCACTGCAACCTCGGCCTCCCAGGTTCAAGGGATTCTTATGACTCAGTCTCCCAAGTAGCTAAAACTACAGGCATGTGCCACCACACCCTGCCTTTTTTGTATTTTAGTAGAGACAGGGTTTCACCATGTTGGCCAGGATGGTCTCGAACTCCTGGCCTCATGTGATCCACCGGTCTTGGTTTCCCAAAGTGCTAGAATTACAAGCATGAGCCGCCACACCCAGCTGTTATAAGTAGAATTGTGTTCTTAACTCCACTTTCAGAGAGAATGTGTGCTTCACTAGAAGCAACTGGAGTCCTCGGGTCATTGCCGTTGTTCTTAATAACACTGAAGGACTACAGAGGCCCTTTGTGGGCAGGTATCTGAGGCCTGGATGTCTCTCATGAGACACACATGTGAGTTCTCTGAGGACCCCACAGGTCTCCACAGAGCACAGTTTCTTGGTGGGACACTGATCTCCAGTTCCAGAATTCCCACTTCCCCACTCAGCTGCTGGGACAATGGCTGGCTCCATAGTCTCTAATACAGTTTTCATGTCCCTCTGGACCTCATGTTAAAATTTGGTCCCTATATTAGAGGGGGAGCCTAATGGAGGGTGTTCTGCTCAGTCATGGGGCAGGTGCCTCCTGAATGGCTTGGTGCTGTCCTTGCGGTACTGAGTGGGTTCTCATGCAATTAGTTCCTAGGGGAGCTAGTCACTAAAAACAGACTGGCACCTCCTCCCACTTCTTGCCTCCTTTCTCACCACATGATCTCTGTTTTTTTTAAAAAAACACTTATAGCACATGACCTGGAAGGGAACACGTGATCTCTGAATCTGCCAGTTCCTCTTAACCTTCTGCCACTGGTGGAAACAGCCAGAAGCCCTTGTCAGAAGCAGATGCTGGCACCATGCTTCTTATACAGCCTGCAGAACTATAAATCAAAGAATCCTCTTTTCTTTATCAATTACCCAGCCTCCAGTATTCCTTTATAGCAACACAAAAGGGCTAAGACAACATCCTTCTGGGTTTCCTTTTCCAGAGTATTCATCCCTCTTTGGTGGTATTCAAGAGCCATAGTGCAAATCCATCTAACTCCCATTGCATCCAGTTGGCAAGTAGGGGCTTTTCAGATATTGAGACTTACCATAAAGGTATAGTAATTAATATGGTATAATAAGGCACAGGAATAATAACCTGATTGATACAGAGTCCAGGATATATGGGAAAGTGCCATTACCCACCTGTAGGGAAGAAATGTAATATTCAATTAAAGGTGTCTGGGTCAGGCGCCGTGGCTCACACCTGTAATCCCAGCACTTTGGGAGGCCGGGGCTGGTGGATCATGAGGTCAGGAGTTTGAGACCAGCCGGCCCAACATGGTGAAACCTCATCTCTTAAAAAAAAATAAAATTTTAATTAAAAAAATGTGTCTGAACAATTGCTTGTCAATGTGGAAAAAAAATAAAACTAATTCCTGACCTCACACCACACACAAGTTAGTTCCAGGCATAGAAAAGTCTTAAAGGTTGTAAAATTTCAAAAATTAAAGAAAAATATAGGAGAATATCTTATAACCTTAGAGTGAAAAATAATGTTTTAAAAAGAAGAAATATCCAGGTGTGGTGGCTCATGCCTGTAATCGCAGCACTTCGGGAGGCCAAGGTCAGCAAATCACGAGGTCAGGAGTTCGAGACCAGCCTGACCAACATGGTGAAACCTCATCTCTACTAAAAATACAAAAATTAGCTGGGCATGGTGACATGTGCCTGTAATGCCAACTACTCAGGAGGCTGAGGCAGGAGAATGGCTTGATCTTGGGAGGCAGAGGTTGCAGTGAGCCGAGATCCAGCCTGGGCAAGAGTGAGACTGTCTCAAAAAAAAACAGGGGGCCGGGCGTGGTGGCTCACGCCTGTAATCCCAGCACTCTGGGAGGCCGATGAGGGTGGATCATGAGGTCAAGAGATTGAGACCATCCTGGCCAACATGGTGAAACCCCGTCTCTACTAAAAATGCAAAAAAAATTAGCTGGGCATGGTGGCGTGTGCCTGTAATCTCAGCTGCTCAGGAGGCTGAGGCAGGAGAATTGCCTGAACCCAGGAGGCGGAGGTTGCGGTGAGCCGAGATCGTGCCATTGCACTCCAGTCTAGGTAACAAGAGCGAAACTCCGTCTCAATAAATAAATAAATAAATAAAGACTGATAAATATGTTTATGAAAATGTATCATTATTAAAGTCAAAAGTCAAGCTTCATTGTAGGAATAGATATTGGCAATGCATATAATTAATAAGGATTTATATCATGACTATATAAATTTTTTCCAAGTCAACAATAAAAAGATAAGCAGCTCATCCAAAAACTGACCTAGGTAGAAGAGGAGATTCAAATTGTCTGTGAACACATGGAAATGTACTCAGAGCCACAAGGAATCAGAGAAATTAAAACCAGAAAGAAATAGTATTTTACACTCTTCAGATTTGCAAAAAATTAAAACTCTAAAAATACATAGTTCTAGTGTTAGACAGTCTTATAATCTGCTATTTTGAGATCTTTTTGCTAAATTCAAGATTTGCACACACACACACACTGAGACCTTGCAAATGTCGCTAGGCAAACTCTTGCACACATGCACCAGTTTTATGACATCAATAACCTAAATTACATCTAGGCTTTCATGCATGTGCATTGTCAAATTAAAAACAAAGAGGGACTTAGGAAAGGACAGACTTGATTCAAAAGGATTATTGTATGATGGGGCAAAGGGGAGAGGGCTATTTCAAACAGGAAGTTCACTCTGATCATGAGCTCTGCAAGCATCTGAAGGGCTAGGCAAAAGAGGTTTCTCTTTTATGGGGAGGAGTAAACAAGGCTAGGAAGAATGGTGTGTGGAGAAGTGGGAGCAGAGTGGCACATGGGTATAGTAAGTCCGAGATTGTTTTATTCTGAAGCCAGTTGATTTTCAGGAAGGGTTGCATGTTGGATGTTGGCTCAGGCTGAAGGTAAATCAAAGTTTAAAGGTCCAGGGAAGGAAAAATAACCTTAACCAAATTTTGGTTAGCAAGTATTTTGAACTGATTGATCTGTAAGGACAAAAGATTTAATTATTTAAGGGGCAAAGAAAGGGAATTTAGAGGGTCTGTATCTGGCCTTTTCATAGGTAACTAGGGATTCTACCTGTGATTCTTACCAAAGTCTTACAGGAAAGGGCATTTCATTGTAGTAAACCATTACCCAGAATGCTAAAGGGTGGGAGAATTTCCTCATTTCTGTTTTGTAGAAGCAGAGGACTCAGCTAAAATGCAACATGTGACTATTGGCCTACATCTGTTCTTCATTGAACAGAATTATCTTTTACAGATTATTTATGCCATGATTAAATACTATTCATTTTTTAAAGATTTCATTTACAATGAAATCTTAATTTCTTCCCATTATTTTTCCAGTACTCGCTGATTAGGAATCTATTTCTCTGAATTCATTTTAGAATTCAACTCATATTCAGTATGCTGTAAGCCCCTGGGCATGTGTGTTCCTCAAAATATCTATGTTATTTTCCAGTACTGGAACTTTAGTGCTGTGAAAGTGGACATCTATCTTCAGAGAAGAAATTTGTCTGACACAGAAACAATAATATTTGAGTAAATTTCTCAACTTCTTCTTTTCTTGATGCATTTTGACAGATACTCATTTAAGTCACTGATTATAGAAGAATAATGAAGCCAGGTTTTTTGTGGCAATTATGTGACTTTTATACCCTGGATTTATTATTCCTATGAATATCTTACATTTTCTATTACTTTAGAAATGAATTATAAATTGTTATTCTATGCATAATCATAATAATGCCCCTAATTTTTGTGTTGTGTCTATTAAGGATTTTTTCTACTGTTAATAATTCTAAAAGGCATATTTGCATTGCTCTTTTTCCTGATCATGTTGTGGCAATGTTCACAATATAACAGTTTTCATTGAAGATTATCCTCCTCTTCACTTTTGGGGGTTAAAACAAAATATGTCACTTCCAGTCTGCAGTCATTTGACTGATTCTAAATGACCAGAAAATAAGGAAGATTTCTCTTTTTTCACCTTCCTAAAAATGTAGGAATCTTAAATAGTCAAAAGGAATTCTGCCATAAAAAAGTCTGCTGACTTTTGAATGGATGTACCACGTGGAGACAATAATTAATGCTGGAATAACAATTCTTCCTTTCTGGTATATAACTCAATTTAATAGTATTATTCAATGTGTGTTATCATTTAAAACTTCTGGATTATTGCTGGTACATAAATGTGGAATAAGGGAAGAAATATGACATGCCAAAATTATCTGGGACTGTATATAAAGGACCATCTATCTAAAGGTTGCTATCTTAAGAGCATAACTAAAAGTGAAATATTTAGCACTCCAAGAGGTTTGTCATCCTCGGGTTTGATTTGACCCAATTTTGATGAAAAAGGCCCAATCAGGTAGATGAATTTCAGTTGTAAGAGAATAAAACATGAGGACAGGTACCATGGCTCACATTTGTAATCCCAGAACTTTAGGAGGCCAAGGTGGGAGGATCACTTAAGAACAGGGGTTCAAGATAAGCCAGAAGAACATGGTAAAACCCATCTCAACAAAAAGTATAAAAATTATTTGGTTTAGGTGGCCCGTGCCTGTGGTTCCAGATAATTGGGAGGCTGAAGTGGAAAGATCACTTGAACCTAGAAGTGGAGGCTGTAGTGAACCATGCTTGCACCACTGCACTCCAGTTTGTAAGATGGAGCAAGATCTTATCTTTTTTTTTAAATGTAAAGTGGATAATGTTAAAATGAGGTAAGAAAGGACATCATGGCAATAGGAAGTTAGGCCTCTTGAGCAGAATGGTATCTGGCACTTAGGTGTGTAGAGTATCCCATCCAGTATTCAAAGTCAAGGTTGAGAAGAATAGTGTAGATGCCAGAGTACAGCCAAGTGGTCCAACATTTCAGCCATGAAGACAGAGGATAACTGTGGATCTAAACAGGACTCTTGATCAAACTTGCAGAGATTGAAGGAAAGGAGCATGAATTTCATGAAGCAACTCTAGAATCTTGCAAGTTGCAGCCTGTGGATAGATTTTTTATCTGGTCACGTCTGTGTAGAACCTAAGTGAGATTAATGTCACAATGTAGGAACACAATTCCTGCAGCCAGTTGAGGCTACAAAAATCTTACTTGGTTCAATGGTCACATAAATCTGGAAAGCATCCTTATCAAGCTTGAAAAAATCATAATTCTTAATTAATATTTTAAATTCACATTTAATGCTGCAATTAAAGTTTATATAAATAAATTCTATATAGGTATACATGAGGTTCCTGCTTGTGATCATGAATACATTTCTTTATACTTTGTTTTTTACTTAATCCTTGTGTATAATTTTTCACCATGATAATGATGAAATTCACCTCCAGTTTTCATGTTTATTTCCATTATTTCTTGGTAAGAATAAAGTTGAATTTATAATTACTGATTGCAAATTTTATCCTATGATCTGAACTCTGCCTG